TACAGTTTCTCAGAAACTGTTGTGGCGCTACTGTTTCATTAACCGGTCTATTCAATTCACCAGACTCGGTGATCGGTCCCGCCTGATTTTCAGACCATTCGTTTCGGAATGTCTAAGATTTGGACCCAAAGTGCTTCAATGAGTTCCAGCAGAGAAGTCGCTACTCAGTAGATAGACAAAGTCGTCTCTTTATCAAAGAGTCGACTGAGGAGATTTGCTGCTAGCGGCAGAGAGTGAACTACTCTCGTGGCAATCACGAAGTCGCTCGCCCAAAGATGAAAGTTGTTCCTGGAGCCGTATGCGGACACTGATTCACAAATCTGAGTCTATGATTCAACTCACTCTCTGACTCCGATTCACGATTCAACTCACACCATTTTCTCTCGAAAAAACCAGTCCGAAGTTCGTTTTTTCAACAAATATGCCCTCTGGGGTTTTGGAGGAGCAGAGTTCCAGCCAGCGTCGACATTGATTTGACAGAGGTACAGAAGATAGCTGTCTCTGTTCGAAGGGAGCGACTCTGAGTCAGAAGAAGAATAAGTTATACCAATGATGATGTGTATGTTTCTTCGCAATATGTAAGACTCGAGTAAATCGAGCTTGCAGTGTTGTTAATCATAAGGGGGAATGGCCATCTACAGTGAAACCCGATTCGGACGATCACGGTAATCAGTGCAGTTTCATGGGGTGTTGCGCTGATCTCCGAAGCCGGACATATCTGACAACACCATGATGAACGATTCATCTATGAGTTCAAGCTGTTCTAAGTGGACAACCTGACATCTGTCGGACGGCCACGTCCTCGGGTTGCTTCGTCACGACAAGCCAGATATTTCAGGATCGTTTACGGCTTAGATCGTCCGGACCTCGGGTTTGATTGTTGGTGGTTTTACCCTTTGGACTGACAGTCAGACCGAGTGGCTCGAGCGTTAGCACCGTTTTAACTGTGCTGAACTGTTTTAGTCTGAACACCATATGGCCGATACGATAGCTGAATATAATACTAGGTGTCGGCTCACGAATATTTCAGCTGAGGTACACTCGAGTTACACCAGTAATACGTGTGGAACAGTTATGCGCGAGTGTCAACACGCATTAAACCATGGGGGATGATTTGCAAATCAAGATTGCAGCTTGGTGGAGCTCTCGGCCAGTTCAATGAGAGATGTAGTAGGACTCTCATCCGGTAAGGGGAGCGAGGAACCCTTCATCAATACCGCCAACTAGTGTTGAGATTGAAGTTCTTATTATCGCTCCTTGTCAAAATTGATGTTCTTAAAAGAGTCTTTTTGGTAATATTTCACGGGCCCGTCCAAATAGGAGTTACGATTTCTGAAACAGGTGATGAAAAAGTGTAGAAGCTATGGATACTCGATCCGTTATCGCATAAGAACATAATTCGATGATATTTGGAAGCACTGGTGCAACACAACAATGAAAGATGGTGTTACGGTTCTGCCAGACTGGACTGAACTCTGCGCCATTACGGTCTCAAAGAATGAAAATCTAAGTGCCTTATGATCTCTTATATAAAGTTAAACCTCTTTAACCAAACTCGTCGTAAAATTTAGGCTGTTCTGCCAAAAGCGAGATCGATAATACTACAGGAGTCGATGATCAATAACATGTGCGCGCGTGCGACGAGCATCCCCTGTCTAAAGGCGCCTATCCAGAGGGTGCTCTGACAGATGGGAGGGTCGAAGAATGATTGAAAAACAAAAGAGATTAATGAATGATTGCTATGTGAAATAAGCTATTCGCGCATGGACCGATACGCTTCCCTATAGTCTATTTTATTTCACTCTCGAAGAGTGTTTCTACTTGAGTTCACCAATAGTATTGGTCCAATACCTATCTTATTATTCTTCCAGTCATACAAGAAATAACGTCCAATGAAGCTAGGGAGTCCAACACCCCATACAGCATAATCAGCCACATTAAGAAGTACGCGACAATAAGCTTGCCCTTGAGCATCCGTTCTAATATCCACATATGCATCAGAGGGGATCTTCACCTTGACGTCCGAACCATCTAGACCCTCTAGAAGAAATTCTATCGGTGGAAGGTGTTTTCGTTGATTACAATTGACGAGAAGCGTAGGACCCCTTCGGATAATCGTCACCTTACCGCTTGATCGAGCCTCAAGATCTTTTATGAGGGTAGGAAGAGTATACCTACGAATAGGTATGAATATGCACTCTGCTCCAGTATCAAGGATACCACGATCGTTCACGACCATTACAGGATACTCGCTACCTCCCATGGAGAAGCCGGTAACTATAAATACTAGGATCTGATCCACCGAGAAGGAGTTCCCCTCTTTTATTAGTTCCATCATGCCTGAGGTAGATCGAGAAGATATCACTCTCGATAAGCTTCTGTGAGAGAAGTTGTTCTATTATCGATACATATGGTGATTCTGGATCATGTTTCGGTAACAATCCGAAACCAGCATGTGGGACTGGCACATTGGGACCATACGTGTATTCAGCAACCAGACCGAATGTAATAGTGGCACTGGCAGCTTGGCCGAAATGGGCCGTTGCAGATTCCTTGAAGATCCTCACTTCGGCTCCATGTCCGAAACGTAGTGTATAAAGTTTTCCCTCACTGCAAACTTCAGGGCTGCATTCATAACAACCGAAGATGATGTCCTTGCACCTCCCTGGATGACCCTTCTCATACCAATGCTTCCAGAGGAAGAACGTCGTGGAAGAACCGGTGTCAATAAGGCCATAGACATCTTGGCTACCAAGTGTTACTTTTCCAACTAGGACATACACATCGGCATCTTTCGTGACCTTCTCATATGACACAGGAACCCTTATGAGAGATCCCACTACACTTGATAATAGGGAGAGAGGGAAAAGTAGAGAACCGAATATGTCCATCGCAGGTTGGAAATAAGCTACAAGACATAGATTTAGGTTCACGGATAATGCTATCACTTCTAACTGTACTGTAGCGTAGGGTTTGTACAAATTGCAATTGCAGCCCA